TCTGGGAAGATCTTGGAAATCTGGAAAATCTGGTAAACGGCATTTTTTCAAGAGCAGGAGGATGCTAATCAAATCGTGTAGCTTCAACAGGGCAGCGTTGGCCGTCGGCTGCTCCTCACCCTCCTCTTCTTCCTCCTCCTACTCCTCCTGCTCCTCCCCATCCTTCCTCCCCCTTCTTTTCTTCACTCAACCCCACCTCTCCGCTTCATGGCGTCACTCGCAAATCTAGTTGCGAACGCAGCTCCGCAACCAGTTTTGCGAGCAGCCTCCTGATAAGAGACATTACTCGCAAATCTAAATGTGAACGCCGCTCCACACCTAGTTTTGTGAGTAAGGTGTTGCTCCTCACCTTCGTCATGCTCCTCACCCTCCTCTTCTTCCTCCTCCTACTCCTCCTGCTCCTCCCCCCTCCTCCTTCGTTTCTTCGCTTGACCCCCACCTCCCCGCTTCGTGGCGTCACTCGCAAATCTAGTTGTGAACGCAGCTCCCCAATCAGTTTTGCGAGCAGCCTCCTGCTACGAAACATTACTCGCAAAACTAGCTGTGAACGCCGCTCCACACCTAGTTTTGTGAGTAAGGTGTTGCTCCTCACCTTCGTCATGCTCTTCACCCTCCTCTTCTTCCTCCTCCTACTCCTGCTGATCCTCCCCCCTCCTCCTTCTTTTCTTCACTTTACCCCCACCTCTCCGCTTCGTGGCGTCACTCACGAATCTAGTTGTGAACGCAGCTCCCCAATCAGTTCTGCAAGCAGCCCCCTGCTACGAAACATTACTCGCAAAACTAGCTGCGAACGCCGCTCCACACCTAGTTTTGTGAGTGATGTTTTCCTCCTCACCCTCGTCATGCTCCTCGCCCTCCTCTTTTTCCTCCTCCTACTCCTCCTGCTCCTCCCCATCCTTCCTCCTCCTTCTTTTCTTCACTCAACCCCACCTCTCCGCTTCATGGCGTCACTCACAAATCTAGTTGCGAACGCAGCTCCGCAACCAGTTTTGCGAGCAGCCTCTTGATAAGAGACATTACTCGCAAAACTAAATGTGAACGCCGCTCCACACCTAGTTTTGTGAGTAAGGTGTTGCTCCTCACCTTCGTCATGCTCCTCACCCTCCTCTCCTTCCTCCTCCTACTCCTCCTGCTCCTCCCCCCCCTCCTCCTTCGTTTCTTCACTTTACCCCCACCTCTCCGCTTCGTGGCGTCACTCGCAAATCTAGTTGTGAACGCAGTCCACAGCCAGTTTTGTGAGCAGCCTCCTGCTACGAAACATTACTCGCAAAACTAGCTGCGAACGCCGCTCCACACCTAGTTTTGTGAGTAAGGTGTTGCTCCTCACCTTCGTCATGCTCCTCACCCTCCTCTTCTTCCTCCTCCTACTCCTGCCTGCTCCTCCCCCCTCCTCCTTCTTTTCTTCACTTTACCCCCGCCTCTCCGCTTCGTGGCGTCACTCACAAATCTAGTTGTGAACGCAGCTCCCCAATCAGTTCTGCGAGCAGCCTCCTGCTACGAAACATTACTCGCAAAACTAGCTGTGAACGCCGCTCCACACCTAGTTTTGTGAGTGATGTCTTCCTCCTCACCCTCGTCATGCTCCTCGCCCTCCTCTTCTTCCTCCTCCTACTCCTCCTGCTCCTCCCCATCCTTCCTCCTCCTTCTTTTCTTCACTCAACCCCACCTCTCCGCTTCATGGCGTCACTCACAAATCTAGTTGCGAACGCAGCTCCGCAACCAGTTTTGCGAGCAACCTCTTGATAAGATACATTACTCGCAAAACTAAATGCTAACGCCGCTCCACGCCTAGTTTTGTGAGTAAGGTGTTGCTCCTCACCTTCGTCATGCTCCTCACCCTCCTCTTCTTCCTCCTCCTACTCCTCCTGCTCCTCCCCCCTTCCTCCTCCTTCGTTTCTTCACTCTACCCCCACCTCTCCGCTTCGTGGCGTCACTCGCAAATCTAGTTATGAACGCAGCTCCACAACCAGTTTTGTGAGCAGCCTCCTGCTACGAAACATTACTCGCAAAACTAGCTGTGAACGCCGCTCCACACCTAGTTTTGTGAGTAAGGTGTTGCTCCTCACCTTCGTCATGCTCCTCACCCTCCTCTTCTTCCTCCTCCTACTCCTCCTGCTCCTCCCCCCTTCCTCCTCCTTCGTTTCTTCACTCTACCCCCACCTCTCCGCTTCGTGGCGTCACTCGCAAATCTAGTTGCGAACGCAGCTCCACAACCAGTTTTGCGAGCAGCCTCCTGCTACGAAACATTACTCGCAAAACTAGCTGTGGACGCCGCTCCACACCTAGTTTTGTGAGTAAGGTGTTGCTCCTCACCTTCGTCATGCTCCTCGCCCGCCTCTTCTTCCTCCTCCTACTCCTCCTGCTGCTACGGCTCCTGATCACTCAGCCCCCTCCTCTCCACCTCGGGGCGTTACCCTCCAATCTAATTGCGAATGCAACTCCACAACAAACCTTGCCAGCAACCTTCCGCTACGAATCATTATTCACAAAACTTGTTGTGAACGCCGCTCCACAGCTAGGAAGAGGCGGTGGAAAATGGAGGAGGATGTTGCTCAACTATGGCTGGTGCCACTGGAGCTCGGCATTCACCAGATGACGCGGAGGAGGAGGAGAACAAGGGGCTCAATTTTGAGGAGTAGGGCAATTATGGTTTGGAGGAGAAGGTGGAGGAGGAGGTGGTGGAGGGGGAGGAGGAGGAGACGATGAGCAGGAGGACAAACATTGGGAGGAGGAGGAGAAGGAGGAGGAGGAAGAGGTGAATGAGGATTCAGAGAAGGAGGAGAAGGAAGAATAGTATGAGGATTCTGATGGAGGGGGACAAACATGAGGGAGAGCTTGGGGAGAATTTAAAGAAGGAGGAGGGGAAGAGAAGCAGGAGGAGGACAATGAGTTTAAATTTGCGGAATCGGAATAGGAGGAGGACAACATGCCGAAGAGGAGATGGAGGAGGATCCAGAGAAGGAAGATGAAGAGTACAAGGAGGAGGAGGAGGAGGAAGAGGAGGACAAGGAGTTTGAAAGTGAGAGGGGGTAGGAGGAGAAGAATGATGAGGACAAACATGAGGAAGAAATGGATGAGGATTCATCGAATGAGGAGGACGAGGGGAAGGAGAAGGAAGAGGAGGAGGAAGAGAAGAGTTGAGGCCAATGCATTTGATTTTGAAGCGGAGGGGGAAGACGACAAACATAAGGAGGAAGAGGATGTGGAGGAGGATTGGGAGACGGTAGAGGAGGAAAATGAGGAGGAGGACGAGGAGGACAAGGCGTTTGGTATCGAGGAGGAGGAGGAAGAGGAGGACGAGGAGGAGAGGACAATTATGAGGAGAAGGTGGAGAAAGCTTCAAAGAAGAAAGATGAGAAAGAGAAAGAGAGGGAGGGGGAGCTTGAGGTTGAGAAGGAGTAGGATGCTGAGGAGGAGGAGGAGGAGGGGCATCATAAACATGAGATGGTGAGATTGGATTGCAATGCGCCGCGAAAGACTGAAGTCGCTTCGCGCTGAAGTGTTTGGATTGCAATCGACGGAATTGCGGTTTGCAACGTAGCAAACCATCATGAAGAAAAACAGGAGGAAGGAACGGGTTATGATGACTGGAGGGATGATGGGAGAATGTGTATGATCATGTGGGGGGGGGGCGAGCTATATATTCGTCCAGCGTTCCCTGCCGCTCCAGTGATTGTGATGCTGCTGCCCCCGCCTGCTGTTGTGGGTGGGGGGAGGTCTCGTGGCCGGGGCGGCAGGGGCCGTGGTTCGCGGGGTCGCGGAGCGGGAGAGGGGGAGACTCGAACCGCGCGCCAGAGAGCCAGCCCCCTGAGTGCGGTCGCGTGCCGCGTGGGGTTACTGGCCATGGCCTGGCGCCCCGCGCGCCAAGGGGGGGTGGTCCAGCGCCGATCCGAGCAATCCGCGCGGACCTCCGAGTTTTAGTTGTAGGTGGTTCGTTGTTTCCCTAAAGAAAATTGCGGCCCGCGTGCCGTGGCGTACGTTGGCTGTGCGCTCGAGTGCAGAAATCAGACCTGCTGTCTCGCGTGTGCGCGCGCTTCGCCTTGTCGGCGTGCTGTTCCGTTCCCGTGCCGTGCTTACGCATGTCGACGTTCGTTCATCATGTGTTTTAGCATGCGGCGTTGATGTGCGGGGTCTCTATGTCGCAGCGTAATATATGACGAGCGCGCGAGGCGCGAAACCGACAATCCAATTCTGAAAGGGAACCGCACTTCATCTGCGCAACTGACGTCTGCAAACGAATGGCGAGTGTGCGCGGCGCCACTGCGAGAGCCTCCTTTTGAAAAATGAAACGCCCTCCGTCCGTGTAACAGCTGGATTTTTCAATCGTCAGGAGCATAGCCAGCGAGGAAGTTTCAAGCGCAACGCCTGGCCCGCCCCCGCGACACGTCTGGCGCCACGGCCAGCAATAGATATCATATGTGGGGAAGAAGCGGTCGGAACAGTAAGAGGACAGGACGGCGAAGGAAGTTCGGGGGCGGCCCCCACCTCGCCATTCTGGGCCCCTGCCTCCTCGCTCCTCCTCCCCCCCTCTCTCCTCCTCCTCCTCCTCCTCTTTTTCCTCCCTCCCCCTCGCTCTTCCTCCCCCTCCTCGCTCCTCCGCCTCCGCCTCCGCCTCGCTCCTCCTCCTTCTCCTCTGCCTCCTCCTCCTCCTCCTCCTCCTCCTCCATATCCTCCTCCTCCTCCTCGCTCCTCTCCTCCTCGCTCCTCCTCGCTCCTCCTCCTCCTCCGTAGGAGCGTCGCTCCTCCTCGTCCTCCTCCTCGTTTCGCCCCCCCTCCTCCGTCGGAGGCGCGAGGGCGTGCTCTCCCCGGGCGGCCGGCGGGCCGGCCGATCGCCCCGCCGCCGCTCGCGCCGCCGCCGCGGCCGCCTCCGCGCTGTCGCCGCCGCCGCCGCCTCCGTTGTCACCGCCGCCGCCGCCGTCGCCGTCGCCGTCGCCGACGCCGTCGCCGTCGCCGTCGCCGTCGCCGTCGTCGTCGCCGTCGCCCACTCCACGCTCTGGGAGGATGGCCTCACCCTGTGGGCGGTGAAGTCCTCCCACGTCGGCGCTCCCCCCGGACCCGGGCAGGGCAGCCCCCGCAGATCGTGGCAGCCGGTCTCCCCCGTTCCTTTTTGTCCGCATTCGTATTGGTAGCGCGATGGCCAGGCAATTTGCCCTCTCCCTGGGCTCTGTTTTTATCCCTGTCAGACCTCTCGCTGGAAGTCATTTCTTCGTCCTTGTGGCAAAAGGGGGCCAGAGAAGAGTTCCAAAGGGTGGGGCGGGGAGCCTCAGACCGCCTGGTCCGGCAGCCTTTTCGCGGGAGACTTCCGTTTCGCGGTCGTCTGCGCGTAAAGCAGTGCCCATTCGCCAGAGTGATTGGGTGCGGGCTTGCATCGGGGGCCTTGAGACGACCAATTGAAAAAACGGGGGTCAGCCAGAGCGCCTGATCTTGCAGGATCCTGCAGGGCCAGGGTCGCACTGACCCGGGCTTGGGTGCAGGATCCTGAAGGACCCTGCAGGATCTCGCAGGGTCCAACAACGCCTGACCGACACGGGTCTGGATTGACCCGGGTCACTGGATCCCCGACTTGCAGGGGTCCCCGCAGCATTGGCCTGCGCGCTTGGATTTGGCCTCCCCGCGGCCTCCTAAAGACGCGCACCAAAGGCCACTCTTGCCTAGGATCATCTTGCGTGTGGTCGAAATTCTTTCGGAAATTGTGCTCTCGCCTTAGTGCCAGCCTTTTTGGGGTCCGAACGGCCACGATCCGTGGTCTACGCGAAGGTGCACATGACCGTGCGTTCCCTGGGAATCCTTAGAACAGATCTAGGACTGCATGCTTTCACGAGCTGGCCTCCCATTCCTCGACCCGCCTCTTCACCCGTGCTGCTATCAGGGTGCTTTGCCGGTGCCATGTGTGCCAGACCTGCCGCCCCTTCTCTGTCAATTAAAGCTGTGCGCGTCCCGCGGAGCTTTTAGCGGAAGAGGTTCGCTCTCGCCCTGCAGATCAAAAGTGTGCCAGACCTGTTCCAAGATTTGGGACATTTTGCCGGAGAGGCGTGCCCGTGCCAGCCATCTCCGAGCGCCGAATGGACAGAAGGCGTCCAACTATTTTCGCGCGCGGGGGCGCCGGCGCACTGCCGAGTTGGGCTCGTGGCAGCCCCGCAGCGCCATACCCTCTGGCGACCCTCGAGAATTTATCCTGGGATGGGCCTCGTATATATTGAGATGTTGAGCAGGGGGTCGATGAGCAGAGGGTGCAGTCAGGGCGCTACCATTAAAGCGGCGGGGAAGGAAGGGTGCTCTGCGACTCCCCCCCCCCCTCTCCTCCGCTTCTGGCCCTTCACTGTCCCCTTGAAAGGCAACTCACCCGTCCCCACCGTCCCAAAGTTGCCATATTGTGGCCACTGGAGCGGCCTTGCCGTCGGCCCTCTCGGGAGGTCTCCATGTTCCTCCTGCCCTTTCCCTCCCTCCCCGACCTGGGAGGTCCGTGCAGCATCCGTGCCCCCCCCCCCCCTCCCCCTCACCCCCCTTCGTCCTCGTCCTTTTCCACATCCCTCTTCCCCGAAGCACTCTGCTCCTACTCCTCCCCCGCTCCTCTTCTTTTCCTGCATGTCTTTTTCGCAGACGGCGGCGGTGGCGACGATTCTGACGGCGCCGATGGCGCCGCCGACCACGACACCAAGAGGTACCCCGAATCTTCTGGAGGCTTCAGGAGGCCCATATCATCGCCATGGACGTCCAATGACCTGGATCCTCCTCCTCTTCCTCCTGCTCCTCGGTTTCCGAAGTCCCTGTTGCTCAGGCCTGGGGATCTCTTGGGTTCCCTGGGCAGAAACCCAGTCGGTAGAATCCATACGCCTGTTGTCCCCTGTTCCCGCCCACCATGTTGGCATCCTTTTCTGGGCACAGTGTTGAAAAAAACATCCTCCCCTTCCAGATTCATGGAGAACGCATGAATTATCGTCTCGACTGCATTTCGCCGATCTGATCTTGATTCTTGGGACAGCAGCGCCGCCGCGCAGGCAACCCAACGACATCATAGAGGTTGGAGAAACACACGTCGCACACATTCGGGTGGCAGCGAGGGAAACCTACCAATAAGAACGCGGGTTGCTCGAACATGATCAGGAAAAAAACGTTCCGAGCCACCCAAAAGACTTGCTTGACGAGGGAGAGCGATACGGTTGAGGCGCATCACCTTCGACTTGCTTGTGATAGTGGCATATAGCCCGCTTCCTCAGAGAAACCAGATGGGTCATTGGAGGTCGGCGTGCGACAAGTTGGCACCATGGGTACAACATCAGGTCCAGCAGACAAGCTCGCGCAACATGCTACTTCCCGGTGCTGGCACGAACTCAGAGTCTGGTGGACGGGCGGCTGGCATGGGCATGCCAAAAAACGATGCAAGATGACGGACGAGCACTCTGGCAGCCATTGGCAGATTCGGAGCGAGCTACGATAACTCAGTTCGCGAAGCGATATGCAAGTTTACGGGAATGTCCGCCACCGACACCTTCAACGACACCGGCCCCACGTTCCTCTCTAAACGTAAGCATGACTTCCTCTTGGGGAGGGGGGACGATTGCGTCTGAGAGCATGCGACCGAGAGATCAAGCGCACCATATTGAGACAGGACAAAGGCAGAGTTTGGCATGCGTCGCGCGAAGCCCAGGCGGCGACGGAAGTTGGGCGCGCGAGCGCAGCTCGGAAATTGGCCTACACGATGAAGCGACCAGAGGCCACGGCCCGAGCAGAAGACGGCGCGACGCCCCCCCCACCGGCTGTCCGACGCTGCAGGAGTGGAGGCGGGCCTTGGAGGCTGGATCTCGCGAGGGGCGCGTCTCGGCGCGCTCGCCAAGCGACCCTTGGAGCCCGCGCCCCGTTGCGCTGCTGGCGAGAGATCGAGGGCCCGCGCGATGAGTGGATGCGCCTTCAAAGGCGGCCTTCGGCGCCTGCTTTCGATGATTGGGCGAATTCGTTTAAGGTTTCAGGCGCTGGACAAGGCAGCGAGGCGCATATAAGCACCTCCACGCTCTGCCCCCGCAGAGTCTTGTCTGATCCCGATGGGGTCCGCCGCGCGACATGCCAGAGAGTCGCCGACGCATGGGCAATCAGTCCCCGGCAGACCCCGCGCGTGCGGGGGGGGGTGGGAGGGGGGGCGGGGGGCGCGCTGCCCGTCGAGCCGCCTCGTCATGGGCGGCCAAGTTACTTGGCCAGGCCAAGGCCATGACGATTGAGAGGCCCTGGAACCAGCGCGCCCCATTTAAGCACCAGAGAATTGCGTTCCTGGGGGCCCTTCGCAGGGCCGCGTATTCGGCGCTGGAAGACAGCGCCTTCGACGAGAGTGATCTCGCGAAGCTGGGCTCCGTGATCTCAGGGTTGGCTAGAGAGGCTCTCCGAGGCGTTGCTAGGCGATGCGCGCCAGAAAGGGGCCCACTTCGCACCCTCGCTGCCGGCGCCTCGCGCGAGGGATTGGACCTAGCGCGAGCGCAGAGCTGCTGATCAGACGCTGGATTTTGACCGCGATGCATCGAGATGACTCAGCACAGGCAGTTGCAGCGCCTCTCTGTTCGGTCAATTTCTGGCAAGGATCCTCGAGGTTCTGTTTTATGGCAAAGCCGCCCAGGACTCCGGCTTTGAGCGCCAGGGGCGCCGCCGCAAACGGTGGGGCTGCGATTTTTTGGAGAGCGCCCACACCAGGGGCGTCTACCAGGCTGACTGTGGACAGGCTGCAATGGGCCCCTGGTGCCGCCTCGCGATCCCCGAGGTCTGCGGGCCCTCTCTGAAGTGAAGTTCTAGAGCGCCCCCATCAGGAAGGCGGCTGCGACCTACTAGGAGAGGTCGGGGGCGCGCGCGGCCAGGCGCCATTCTCGGAGGCGGCCGCGAGGACCAACCGTCGCCACCGCCCTTTACATGAGCTGCGCGCGCCATCACATCAGTTGATAGTTACGGCGCAGCGCTGCCGCGGCCCGCCCGATTCTTCTACAGTTGCGCTGGTCCAGAGACGCGTCGCGCAGGCCCTGGCAGGCCTCGGCGCATGCAGGTCGCCGCTCCAAGTGCCAAAGAGTTTACGTTGCCCGATTTGAATTTACCCTGCCCCGGGGGGCGAGGGCTTCTAGCCCGGGGCGCCCTCGGCCGCGCTGGCGCCGGGGGGGCCCTGGAATCTGGCTGAACTTTGGGCGCGCGTCCGATCAGCGCGCGCCCCATTCTGCCCCCGCCCTGCCGCCGGGGCCAGGGCGGCCGCGACAAGGGCTGGCGGGCGGGCCAGAACGTCCGAGATCGGACTCTCAGCGGCGACAGGAGGGGGCCCTGATGGGGCGCCGCGGCAGCGGCTGCGGCGGCGGCAGGCGGCCCGGCCGCGGCCAGGAGGCCAGCAGGACGGCACGGCGGCGACGGGGAAGAGGGGGGCAGACGTCGCGCAGCTCGCGCATTTCTCCATCGAGCGGGCGCAGGTCACCGCGCCGATCTCGACGAGGGCGGGTCAAGTACGAGAACGCGACCAATCGTTCGGCGCCGGCCATCTGCCGACGAGCAGCCAGCGCGCAGCCGCGACGCCACGTAGGCCACGGCGCGCTCAGCAGGGCGCCGCAGCCGGCAGGCGCCAGCCAGGACGACGCGCGCAACGGAGTGTCGATGCCAGAATTGGAAGCACCAAGCATTCCACATCCTCGCGCGCGGCCTGCTCTCGCTGGCGCCCTGGTCGCGCGTGGAGATCGAGCGGGCGGGCGAAGACCGGGGCGCTCAAGCGGCACCTGGGCCGCGCGAAGGCAGAGGCGCTCACCGACGGAGCTCTTCGCAGATCAGGCCAGGCGCTGCCGCCTTTAGACCGCCCACGCGGGAGACAAGGTTAAGATATGGGTCGGAGTAGAGTTTGCGGTCGTCGAGGACGCGGTCGCGGCGGCTCGCGCGCAGCCAGGGGGAGAGCGCAATCGCGGCACCTTCTTCCGAAGTCTCGCAACGCGCGCCTGCTCCAGCTACACTTGGACGGGATGCGGCACAGCGGCTGCTCGAGGCAGCTCAGGCGGCGGTGTCAGCGGGCCATTCGGGAAAGCCCCATCGCGGGCCCTTTGCGGCTAGGTCAGGGTCGCCCCATGCGGCGCCCGTTGGTTTTGCCATTAGATGCAATGTCAGGCGCCCCAAGTGGGCCCATTGTTGGCGTTGCGTGGGTCGGCTAGGTCGGGGCCGAGTCGGGGCCGTCGCAGCGCGGCCTAGAGATGGAAGCAATGGGGGAAGCGGGGCAGTTCAATGGGAGTGATCGGATCATGGCAGAGGTTCGTTCCCCTTCGGCAGCGCCTACGATAGCAAGTGCCTCGGACTTCGGGCTTCTTCGCTGAAGCCTACTGCGACAGCCTCCACTGCGCGCTCGAGGTCAGCGAAGCTATCGGCAGGTTCGAGACAGGCCACGGGGGCCCAGGGTACCTCCACCCCTCCAAAAAACGCACTCCCGCTCCCACCTCTGCCATGTCTCGAACGATGCCGAGTATTCCCAGAGCCGCGGGTGCCTCCAGAGGGGCCGTGGGAGCTACTACTCGAGCTTTTGTTGAATATATGCCACCGCTCGCGCTTGTCTCTGCTTGTCCTCCTCCTCCTCCTCCTCCTCCTCCGGCCTCTGCTTCGGAAGATATAACCCCTTTCATTAGCATCCTCAGGATCCTGGGCCTCGAGAGGAGTAGGTGGCCCACCTGTCCTTAGGGCCCCCCTGTGGGCCCCTCGGTTCTTTTTAGTGTTCTGCTGCAGTGGGGGGTCAGCTTGTTTATGCTGCCCCCCCCACGCCGCGGCGTGCCCGCGGCCTCGTGCTCGTGGAGGGGGGGGCGCCCCGGCCGGAGTTCGAACATGTCCCCAATGTCGCCCCGCCCCTACGGCCGTGCCCAGCCTTGAAAGCATCGGGCCTTCAGCCGAGGTAAGGAGACGGTGGGAACTAGAGCGCATTTGATGTCACGCGAGTGGGTATTTCTTCTCGGCCCAGCGCCCGATTGAATAACCACGGGAGCAGGCAACAGTCTGCCCAGCGCCCGCGGCCACCGCGCGATCCAGCTGACACGCTTTTGCGGAGTCGGTCGTTCGTTGTTGTCGTCCACCCCCTCATCCTGCTCGTGCTCCCGCTCCTGATCCTGTTCCTCTTCCTCCTGGTGGCCCTCCTTTTCCTCCTCCTCCGTCTCCTCCTCCTCCTCCTCCTCCGCCTCCGCCTCCGCCTCCGCCTCCGCCTCCTCTTCCTCCTCCTCCTCCTCCTCCTCCTCCGCTGTTTGCCCCTGCGGCCCGCTGCGCGGCGGGAGGGCGGGAAGGTCGAACGGCGCGTCGAACCGCGACAGGTAAAACCGCTTAGGCGGGAGGAAGGGGGGGCGCGCGCGGCCGCCCAGAGCATCGCGGGGCGCGAACGCAGGGAGGGAGGGAGGGAACGACACCAGGAACCCGAAGGACCGAGCGCAACAGGGGCGGGGGAGAGAAGAACCAGGCGGAGCCAAGGGGAGAGGGGCACATGATAGTAGAAAGGCGAACGGAGAGGAACCTCCGCATTCTCCTCCTCCTCCCCCTCCTCCTTGTTTTCCTCGTTTCCTCTTCCTCCTCCTCCCTCGCCCCCTCCTCCTCTTCTTCCTCCTCCTCCTCCTGATCTTCCTCCTCCTCCTTCTCCTTCTCCTCCTCTTCCTCCTCCCCGTCCGCGTCTTCCTCCTCCTCCTCCTCCTTCTCCTCCTCCACCTCCTCCTCCTTTCCCTACTATCCACTTTTCGCGAACCTAGGACTTCGAGGCTCGGATGACGACGGCGACGACAGCAACGGCGGCGGCTCGACCTTCTCAGGGGCTTTGGCAAGCGGGCGCATGAAGAAGGGGGAATAGGATACTGCGGGGGGGAGGAGGAGCGGGAGGAAGAGAAGGAGGAGGTGGTAGTGGTGGAAGACGAGGAGAAGGAAAAGGAGGAGGAGGAGGAGGAAAAGGAGGAGGAGGAGGAGCAGGAGGAAGTGGAAATGGAAGAAAACGGGGATACGACGAGGGGAACAGGAGGATGAGGCGGACGCTGCGGCGGTCATCCGTTCATCCCGCGCACGGGAACCCTTCAAACGGCATCAGTAGAGCGGCGACGACAGCGTTGACGGCGGCGAAATTGCGACGGCGATGACGTTGGCGGATACGGCGTAGTCGGCACCAGTTCCTGTGTCTTGGCCGCCGCCGCCGGAGCCGCGGCCGCGCGGCGGCGATGACGGCGGCGACGACGAAGGCGGGCGAGCGTCGATTCTTGCGCCCCGACCCTCGAACCCCGCATCCTCGGATCCTTGGTCCGTTGAGCCAAGATTGCGGCGGCAACGACGAAGACGACGGCGCGCCAAGGCGCATGGGGGCGACGCATGGGTTCCATCCCTGGCGTCGCCGGGGAGGCCCGGGGCCTGGCATGGATGCCAGGCGCGCTCACGCCCGAAGTCGCTGCCGCCGCCGTCGCCCGGCGTCGCCCGCGCCGGCCGCTGCCATCCCCCGTTGGCCGCCGTCGCCGCCGTCGCCGTTAGTCGCTGTCGCCGCCGCCGCCGCCGTCGTCGACGCCGTCGCCGTGGTTGCCGCTGGTGCCGCCGTCGCCGCCGTCGCCGCTGCCGCTGTCGTCGTTGTCGCCATCCGTCGCGGACGTCCGCGGCCATCGTCGTCGCCGTCGTGGCCACCGCCGCCGCCCGTGCGCTCGGGGACTTTGGCCCAGGGGGGCAGTGGAGAGAATGTGGGGGTCGGGAGGGCAATGAAGATAAGGGGAAGGACGGAAGCAGGAGGAAAACTCGAAAATGTCAAAACGACACAAACAGAATTCCTCGAAAGCCCGCGCGGATTTTTTCGATCGGCGTTCGGCCCCCTTGGCGGCGCCTCCGTCGCCGCCCTCGGCGCGTTCCTCTCGGCAGGGAACGGGTCCACCGCCGATCCGAAAAATCCGCGCAAACCTCCGAGAACATCTTCTTTGCAGTTGTTTGCTCCTCACGCAAAGATGTATCGTGCTCGCGTAAAGCTCCTGTGGCCTGCGAGCCGCAGCCCTTGACTCAGACCGAAAGGAAAACAAACATCCGATGGCCGCGTTCAGCCGCCTTCGCGGGCGGGTGCGCGCAAGGCGGCGACTCTGCAGTGCAGAGAAAAGTGGAGGAGCAGGAGGAGGAGGATGAGGTAGAGGAGAAGGAGGAGGAGGAGGAAGAGGAGGAGGAGGAAGAGGAGAAGGAAGAGGAGGAGTAGAAGAAGAGGGGGAGGAGGAGGAGGTGGAGGAGGAGGAGGTGGAGGAGGAAGAGGAGGACGTGGAGGAGGAGGGGGAGGAGGAGGAGGAGGTGGTGGAGGAGGAGGAGGGGGGAGGAGGAGGAGGTGGAGGAGGGGAGGAGGAGGAGGAGGAGGAGGAGGAGGGGGAGGAGGAGGGGGATGGGGAGGAGCAGGAGGAGGAGGTGGAGGTGGAGGGGGATGAGGAGGAGGAGGAGGAGGACGAGGAGGAGGAGGAATGAGGAGGAGAAATCCGTTTTGCCTTACGCGGGCCCGCGGGTCCCGATCTATTGATCGGAGCCGATCGTGCCTGCCGCCTTCTCGATCGCGATCCCAGGCCTCGGGCGGGATCGACCAGCTCTCTTGGCCGCGCTCGCGTGCCGCGGCGCGCGCCATCCTCGCGGCGGGGGCCACCATCGGCCCCCTTCTTCCGCTGCGAGAGCGGCGCCCGCGGCCGCGCGGAGGCGGCGAGCGATGCGCCACAGGCACCCCAGACGTTGCGAGGCGCCACGCCCATGGAGGGCGAAAACGCTTAGCATTGGCGTCTGCGGGACAAGGGAGCCACCGCACGGGTCGTCCTGCGGCTGCAGGACGTTCGATACCTACTACGTGCCCTTCATGAAGCGAAGCGACCAGCTCAGTTGAACGTCGGAAAGATGACGTGTCCGCGGGCGAACATTTGGGCGCGCAGAGCGTGCGAACAGATCAACAGTAACAAGGTTCGGTGTCGTGCCAAATGCTGCACCGAGTACGGCAAGAGACTCTCAAAGGCAAAAACTAAGACGCAGACAGCAGACACACGAGTGCAGTATATCATTGCATCTAACCTGTCAGCGCTAGAGGCCACGGCCGTCAACCGTGAGGACATGAGGTGGCACCACAACATCTGGCAATGCAGCGCGCATACAGGCACACTGGGGACAACTATACTGAGACACGTGGCAGGAACCATGCTTGCGACCAGGGCAGCAGATGGCAGCATCAAGGAGCAGACGACGGAGATCTCCATCTTGAACTACGGACTCGTACTCCATCAGTCCCAGGCAAAAGCGGGTCGCCGAGATGAGGAGGACGAAGGGCTAATTTGGATGAAGCAGTACCATGACTTCGAATGCCAGATCGCGGAGGTGGACGAGGATACCAACGCCACCGACCAGCACGCCAGCGACCTCTTGGAACATGCCAATGCGAACGAGGAGAAGGAGGATGCTGATGGAGAGGAAGAGAAGTCGGAGACGGAAGCGGGAGTCCAGTCGGAACCACAGAGACATTTGCAAATCATAGCGCCAAGGAGAACCAGTAGTACAAGCGGAGGGGCGGCGGCATCATTGATTGGGGCTGCAGCAATATCTGGAACTCGACCAACAACAGTCACAGCTCCAGCCCCGCCGAGACCAGCGCGACGCCAGGATCAAACACAGAATGCTTAGCAGGAGATATGGTCAGCATATGAAGTATTTGAGCGGGAATGTCGAGGATCAACAGAAGGCGCTCATGGCCGCGAAACATCGAACAGTAGCTTTCCAAACAGCCATCGCCGAAGAGCTCCCACAACAACAGTGGCAGATGAGAGAAGATCTGGAAGTTGCATCCTTGGGGTCGCGTTGAAGCGCAGCAGGC